AGAGTGAGAAGAAGCCACAGTCTGCTCCCTCTCTTAGTGTGTTATGTATTATACTGTTGAGCACCATGTTTTGTGATATTACTACAGTTCAATTGATTTTGACCATTTTCTGTCATGTCCCACCTTGTTTACCTTCCCCACTGGCCTGCCACAGAGATCCTAGTGTATTTTGGAGGAAACTCTTACAGCTTATAAATCAAGGCATTCTGGGGGAAAAGAAACCAAAAACAAAACAGCTTTAAAATCTTTACACGTCTGCCCATTAATTAAAGAACACAGTTCCTTAACAAAATATTAGCAAATTGAATTCAACAGTACATTAAAGGATCATATACCATGATCAAGTGGGATTTATTCCAGGGATTCAGGGATGATTCAGTATCTGCAAATCAGTCAATGTGATACACACATAAACAAAATGAAGGATAAAAATCATATGATCATCTCAATAGATTCACAAAAAGCATTTGACAAAATTCAACATCAATTTATTTTTTTTAAAGATTTATTTACTTTAGAGAAAGAGAGAGAGAGAGTGTGAGGAGTGGGAGGAGGGGCAGAGGGAGAGAGAGAATCTCAAGCATACTGCATGTCCAGCATAGAGCCCAATGTGGGGTTCCATCTCATGACCCTGAGATCGTGACCTGAGCCGAAATCAAGAGCCAGACACTCAAGTGACTGAGCCACCCAGGTGCCCTTCACCATCAATTTATGATAGAAACTCTCAACAAAGCAGGTATAGAGAGAATATACCTTAATATAATAAAGACCATATATGATAAGCCCACAGCTAACATACTCAATGAAAGCTTTCCTTCTAAGATCAGGAACAAGACAAGGATGCCCACTCTTACCACTTTTATTCAACATAGTGTTGAAAGTCTTAGCCAGAGCAATTAGACAAGAAAAAGAAATAAAAGTCATTCAAATGAGAAAGGAAGGAATAAAACTATTACTATTTGCAGATGTCATGATATTATATACAAAAAAAATCTGAAAGACTCCATCAAAAAACTGTTGGAACTAATAAATTCAGTAAAGTTACAGGATACAAAATCAATACACCAAAATCTGTTGTATTTCTATACAGTAAAAATGAACTCTCAGAAAGAGAAATTAAGAAAACAATCCCATTTACAATTACATCAGAAGGAATAACATACGTGTAGGAAAAATTTAACAAAGGAGGTAAAAGGTTTGTATATTGAAAACTATAAGACATTATTGAAAGAAATTGAAGAAGACACAAATACATGGAAATCCATGGTCATGGATTGGAAGAATTGATATTGTTAAAATGTTCCATACTATCCCAAACAATATACAGGTTCCATGCAATCTCTATAAAAATTCCAGTGGCATTTCTTCACAGAAATAGAACAAACAATCCTAAAATATGTATGGAACCATAAAATATCCCGAATAGCCAAAGCAATCTTGAAAAAGAAGAACAAAACTGGAGATATTATGCTCCCTGATTTCTAACTATATTGCAAAGCTATAGTATTAAAACAGTGTGGTATTGCCATAGAAACAGACATGTAGATCAGTGGAACAGAATAGAGAGCCCAGAACTAAGTCCACACAAAAATGGCCAATTAATTTACAACAGAGAAGCCCAAGATATACTATGGGGAAAAGACAGTCTCTTCAAAAGTGTTGGGAAAATTGGACAGCTGCATGCATAAGAATGATACTAACCCACTATTTTACACCACACAAAAAAATTAACTAAAATGGGTTAAATATTTGAAAGCAAGGCCTGAATCCATATAATTCCTAGAAGAAAACATAGACAGTAAGCTCCTTGACATAGTTCTTGGCAATGATTTTTGAATCTGACACCAAAAGCAAAAGCAACAAAAGCAAAAATAAACAAGTGGGACTATATCAAACTGAAAACCTTCTGCACGGTAAAGAAAACTTGGCAAAATGAAAAGGCAACCTACAAAATGAAAGAAAATATTTGTGAATCATGTATCTCTTAAAGGGCAAATATCCAAAATATATAAAGAAATCATATAACTCAATGGCAAAAAACCAATCTGATTAAAAGGTGGGTGGAAGATCTGAATAAATATTTTTCCAAAGAAGAATACAGATGGCCAAAAAGTATATGAAAAGAAGCTCAGGATCACGAATTATGAGGGAAATGCAAATCAATCACAGTGAGGTATCACCTCACATCTGTCAGATTGGTTAGTATTGAAAAGACTAGAATAATCACAAATGCTGCAGAGGATGTGGAGTAAAGGGAACCCTCGCACACCGTTGGTGGGAAGGTAAATTGGGGCAGACACTATGAAAAACAGTATGGAACTTCCTCAAAAAATTAAAAATAGAACTGCCATATGATCCAAAAATTCCACTTTGGGGTATTTATCCAAAGAAAAGGGAAACTCTAACTCCAAAAGATATACGCTCTCCCATGTTCATTGCAGCATTATTTACAGTAGCCAAGATGTGGAAACAGCCTAAGTGTCCGTTTTGTTTAAAGATTTATTTTATTTATATTAGAGAATAGGAGAAGGGCAGAAGGAGAGAGAGAATCTCAAGCAGACTCTGCACTGAGCATGGAGCCCGACGCAGGGCTCAATTTCATGACCCTGAGATCATGACCTGAGCCAAAATCAAGAGTCAGATGCTTAACTGACTGAGCCACTCAGGCACCTCCAGCCTGTGTCCATTGATGGATGAATTGATAAAAAAAATTTGTGGCATATACATATGTAATGAAATGTTACTCAGCCACAAAACAAGAATGAAATCTTGCCATTTGCAACAACATGGATGGACCTTGAGGGCATAATGCTAAACGAAATAACTCACACAGAGAAAGACAAATACCATATGATCTCTCTTACATGTGGAATCTAGAAAAAAATAGGTCTGTAATAAACTAAGCTCATAGATACAGAGAAAAGATGAGTGGTTGCCAGAGGCACGAGGTTGGGGTGGGAGAAATGGGTGAACTGTTTTTTTTTTTCTGGTTTTAGTTTTAGTTTAAATTGAATAATAAAAAAAGATACATACACTCTTCAACCCTGCAATTCTGGTCCTGGGTATGGACTCTAAAGAAACTCCTACAGATTATACCAGAAGATAGCATCATTCTTATCTTTACTATCAGTAGGAAATGAATGAGTCAACTCATATAATGAAATACCAGATAGTAGTTAAAAATGAATAAATGAAAGTTACATACAACAACATGGATAAAACTTAGCAGCATCATTGTGAGTGAAGAAAGCAACCTGCAGAAGAATGTATACAGTAGGATAGATTTAAAGTCTACAAAGCCATACAATACATTGTTAAATGGATACAGTTGGAGATAGTAATGGGGGTAGATTCATGCATGGGGAATGAGAAGCACTAATTTTAGAATAATGGTTACTCAGAGGTAGGAAAGGAAATGGGATTAGGAAAGGAAACACAAAGGGAGGACTTTGGATTTATTTCTTAAGCCATAGTGGTGGGTACCATTAAAACAGGAATCTGGAAGGCAGAAGCTTAAAGAGGTGGAGAGAATCTGTGTTCAGGAAAGGGAGGAGGTGTAGGCCAGTTAGCATATCATGTGTCGGCATCCATCAAGATGATGATGTAAAAATATCACTTATTGACACAAAGAGCTGTTAGGAACATATCAAGTAAAAATTAAAAGTACAAAACAGGATTATTATTATTTTTTTAAATAAATCTCTTTTTTAAAAGATTTTATTTATTTATTCATGAGAGAGAGAAAGAGAGAGAGAGGCAGAGGGAGAGGGAAAGGGAGAAGCAGACTCTCCACTGATCAGGGAGCTCTATCCCAGGACCCTGGGATCATGACCTGAGCCGAAGGTAGACGTTTAACTGATGGAGCCACCCAGGTGCCCCTAAGAACTTCTTGTATAATAAATTCTTGAAGATTTTTAAGAAAACTCACTCCTTCAGATAAACCTCCCTTATCCACTGCTGTTCCCTTGCCATACTGCTGCGAGGATCCGAAAGCCTGGAATGTGACATGATTTTAGGTGGTTTAATGCTGATTAAATGTGTCTTGTTTCCATAAGAATATGTTTATTTTATTTATTTATTTTTAAATTTTTATTGTTATGTTAATCACCATACATTACATCATTAGTTTTTGATGTAGTGTTCCATGATTCATTGTTTATTTATTTATTTCTAAAGATTTTATTTATTTGACAGAGAGAGACACAGCGAGAGAGGGAACACAAGCAGGAGGAGCGGGAGGGGGAGAAGCAGGCTTCCCGCGGAGCAGGGAGCCCGATGTGGGACTCAATCGCAGGACCCTGAGATCATGACCTGAGCCGAAAGCAGATGCTTAACCGACTGAGCTACCCAGGTGCCCAGAATATGTTTATTTTAACATATATTACAAAAATAAATTCGTTTCAACAAATGGTGCTGAAGCAACTGAACATCCACATACAAAAAAAAGAAAAAAATGAATCTAGACACAGACCTGATACCCTTTTCCAAGATGAACTCCAAATGGATCACAGACTAAATGTGAAACAGGAAACTATAAAACTCCTGGAAGATCACAGGAGAAAAATATATTAGCACATCCAACCCAAGATTCAATTAATGCTCAAATTTATAAAAACTGGGATTCCTGCCGGGCAGGGCAAGACTGTCTTTTCAATAAATAGGGTTGGGCCTGCAGGATATCTACACAGAAAAATGTAATTTAGATCCCTCCTTTGCCATAACCCTCCACCACCCCCCCACCCCTGCCAAAAAAAATCCTAAGTGTTAAAGACAAAACAATAAAGCTTCTAGATGATAAACATAAACAAAACCAAAAAAAGAACACCGTTCTCTTCCATCCTTGCGTGGCCCGAGTCGCATGAGGATTGAATCAGCAGCGGAAGCGGACAATTTCACGATGTACGACATCTGTCTGCTCTTCTCGGTAAACGGACTCCTCGTTTCTGTCCCAGCCAAGGGCTCCTGGTAGAATATGTTATTTATAGCACGACACACAGGGCCTGGCAATACAGTGTGGGCAATGAAACATGACAAATGGAGGTGTCTCCTCGGGGAGGGAAGCTTCCTTGAACATTGCCTTGTTTCCTGTTTTTGCAGTTATATTTGCTAAGAGTGTCTGACGCGTATCATTTAACGAGGGCCTCGTCTGCAAACTTTTTTCCCTAGGCAAGCCAGGACTACCACTGACTACTTTCTAAGGAGATGTGGGGTAAGTGCCCTAGGAAGCCTGCTGCCTAGAGACCACGGTTGGTTCTGAGGGCAAATGGAGCTGAGCAGTGGCGAGAAAAATCCCACCAGGTACTGAGCACTGATGGGGTCAGGCTCGTCTCACACACATGGTTAACATCGAATCCCCCCTCAGCACGTCGTGCAGTAAGGACCATTATCTTTGCTGTAGAGAGGGGTATTTTAATGTTCAGAGAGATTATTAAACTGTCCAAGTTCATGGATGTGTGGTCTGTGCGGTTGCACTGATCTCTGAGCTTAGAAAAGCCCCGTGTTTGGTTTAATGCACTATTAACAGCTTGAAATTCTGAATTTTTTTTTTTTTTTTAACAGAAAGCCTCACATTTTCTTTTTGTAGCGGATCCCAGAAATTCGGCAGCTTTTCTTGTTCAAAAGCACTAAGGCTTGGGCTTATCCAATGCCCGTGTCTCTTTTTACTGGGCCCGTGAACTGCTCTCAACTCCCTAGTGCTCAACAAGCTGGCGGGGCCACTCTGCTGTGTTTCCTGCATCCGGAGGAGGAGTGGTTTCAGGTGGAGGACAGTAGTGGAAGGAGCACCCCTCTCGGGGATGGCTTTACCCTTCTCCTTTCTCTCTGTCTGCTCTTCCCTTCCTCCCCTGTTCTGCTAGCCTTCCCCGTACTCCCAGTGGAGTGCTAGAATTGGAGCCCAGGTCTCCTGATTCCAAAGCCCATGCTCTCCTTGCTAGCCCTACCTGTGCACGGACAGGTGTTCTCAGTTCCAAATGCTTCAGCAAGTCTTTCTCTTTTTCTTTTTCTTTTCAAGATTTTATTTATTTATTTGTCAGAGAGAGAGAGAGAGCAGAGGTAGAGGGAGAAGCAGACTTCCCGCTGAGCAAGGAGCCCGATGCGGGGCTCGATCCCAGGACCCTGAGATCATGACCTGAGCTGAAGGCAGTTGCTTAACCAACTGAGCCATGCAGGCGTCCCCAGCAAGACTTTGATGAGGCCAGATTCACCCCACCCTCATCAACATTTTGAGCTCTGGCTGGACTGGGTGGCATTTGGGGGGATGAATCTCCAGCTTCTCGTCTGGTCCATCACTGCCTTCCAAACTCCTTCCGATGTTTATTCCGGACATCAGCCAGACAGGTGCAGCTGAAGTCCTGCAGGCACCTCAAGCCCTCCTCGCTCTCACGGCGAACCCTTCTGCCCGTAGTTGTGATCTCGTTAAAGGAAGCCACCTCTGGCTGGGGCGCCTGGGTGGCTCAGTAGGTTAAATGTCTGCCTTCGGCTCAGGTCATGATCCCAGGGGCCTGGGATCGAGCCCTGCATGTCGGGCTCCCTGCTCAGCAAAGAGCCTGCTTCTCCCTCTGCCCGCCACTCCCCCTGCTTGTGCTCAGTCTCTTTCTCTCTGACAAATAAATAAACAAAATCTTAAAAAAAAGTCACCTCTGGGCTAAATGCTCTAGCTGAGTGTCTTAAAGTTGTCTCCAGCTGTTCCCCTTTTCTTATTCTCGATGTTGCTAAATCCTGTGGATTTTTGTTTTCTGCCAGAAAAGCCCCATCCCCTTACCTACTGCCTTAGTGTGTTCCTCCCTTAGCTCTCCTGGAGTTCACAGCGGTGCTCACTGGGCACACACACTCATCTCTGTGTGTCTCTGGCGTTTTCAGTCAGTAACACTCTCTCTTATAATTACATTTACAAAATTTAATTGGTGTGTTAAAAAGAGGGGACCTTTATAATCTTATTTTTATGTTTTTGGTACAATTGACATGTAATATTATATGAATTTCAGGTATACAACAATAATGATTCAGTATTTGTCTACACCTTGGAATGATCACCGCAGTTAGTCCAGTTAATATCCATCACCTGGCACAGGGTAACCAGTGTCTTTGCCCTATCATTGGCCCCTTCCAAGCTACCCTCCACATTGCTGCAGAGAGTGATCTAATGATAAAACCATCCCGATCATTCACTCTCACGGGCTCCCTGTTGGCCATCGGATAAAGTCCAAATGCCTCTCACTGTCTGGCCCCGTTGTGTCTTCTCAATTTCATCTTTTGTTTCTCTCCTGTACTCCATGCACCAGCTGCCCTGGGTTCCCTGTTCTCCAATAAAACTACCCTTTGTGCCTCTCTTTGCAAATGCCGTTTCTGCCTGCAATTCTTCATCTTACACTTCTCCATCCTCTTGGTGGTAACTGCATTCTCTACATCTCAGCTCAAATGTTGCTGGTGCTGGTAAATCTTCCCAGATTCCCAACTACCTCCTTCCCTACCTCTCTCTTCTTATTCACACCTTATCACGTTATATTGGGAGCATCTGGCCTTGCATCTACCTGTCAGTAGTAGGAAGGCAGGGATAATATTTATTCCTCTTTGTATTCCCAGGGGCGAGCACAATGCCAGGCATGTAGGAGGGGCTGATGAGACATACTATGTACTTGTGAATGAACCTTGAGTAATTGTATTATTTTTGTTTATTTATTTTTTTCAAAGAGAGAGAGAGAGAACAAGTGGGGAGGGGGCAGAGGGAGAAGGAGAGAGAGAATCTCAAGCAGGCTCCACGCTTAGCATGGAGCCTGATGCCGGGCTTGACCTCACGACCCTGAGATCGTGACCTCAGCCGAAATCAAGAGTCGGACACTTAACCTACTGAGCCATCCAGGCACCCTGACTGTATTATTTTAAGAAACTGTTTTGATTTTTGATTTTTAAGCAGATAGTTGACATGGTATGTGTTATTTCTGATTTAGAAAAAATGCTATCAATAAATGTGTTTCAGAAACTATTTTTAAATGGTGTATACTTAATAAATAATAAAATGTGCAGGTCTGAAGTGTTTAGGTTGATACATTAGACAATTGGTATACACCTGTATAACCACCTCCCCAACCAAGACAGAATGTTTCTGTCACCTCAGAAAGAGTCTTCATGTCATCTTTCCAGTCAAAGAAAGGCCCATTGCCTTTAAGAATGACCCACTTTGTGATGTCTATCATCACGGGTTAACTTTGCCTGTTCTAGAATTTTTTATAAATGAAACCATATAGTATGAACTCTTCAGTAGCTGCCTTCCCCCCTCATGTTATAATGTTTTTGAGATCATCCGCTTAGCAATGGTTTGTTCCTTTCATTGCTCAGAAGTATTCTAATGTAGGACAATTCGTACATCTATTCTCCAAGTATGAGTGAGTGACCTTGAAAATCTGAGAGGCATTAAGGCATCCTGTGACCTTGGAGGGTGGCATCTGTGAGAGCAGAACATTTGACTCTTATCAGGGACCCACAAGGTCAAGGCGTTACTTATGGTAAATGACACCAGACCGATCCTTTCTTTTTATCGTTATGTTCTCTCTATTGCCATTAGATTGATGGTAGACACACCTTTCTGCCCACATTGTGCCTGCTTTGTGGCATTTCTGTTGCTGATTTTGGATTCTGTGTTTCAGGGGAACATAGATAAACCAACTGTCCTAGAATCAGGCTCTAAGGAATGGTCTGGCAGGAGCTCTTTTACGTGAGACTGTGATACTGATTTTGGTTCCCCCGAGGTCTTTTATTTCCCTTCATATTTCTAGGTTCTCAGCCATGTTCCAGATGTTGGAATGGCTCCTAGATTGTACCCTCTGGCACAGTTTGGGTCTCTGGGCTCCAGATTCCCCTCTGCTCTGACCCCAGGGGTCACTTGCCTGGTGCCCCTCCTAACGCTCCACTGACTATACACTCACACCGAATACCTAAGCTCTCACTACAGAGTTACGAAGCTGCTGATAGTGTCCTTGTCTCAGGACGAACGTAGGAATGAGTACAGAAAAATGAAATAACCACAAAACGCCCCCCCCCACACACAAAGGTTATGCTTTCTGTAATAGGTTCCCAGTCTCACATCATTTAATAGGGTGATCCACCATCTCGGTTTGCCCAGGACTCTCGCCAGTTTTAACACTGAAATTCCTGCATCCTGGGATGTTCCACGGTTGTAGGCAAACCAGGATAGTTGCCTTACCTAAAACTTAAAAACAACTTTGAAAACATAACCTGTTTTAATCAGAAGAACCTGTTGCATTTCGTTTACCTGATGATATTATAATCTCAAAGAGTATTTATTTTTTTATTTTTATTTATTTATTAGGGAGAGAGAGAGAAAGCACAAGCAGGGGGAGCGGCAGGCAGAGGGAGAAGCAGGCTCCTCGCTGAGCAGGGAGCCCGATGCGGGACTCGATCCCAGGACCCTGAGATCATGACCTGAGCCAAAGGCAGACGCTTAACCGACTGAGCCACCCAGGCGTCCCTCTCAAAGAGCATTTATTAACCCAAAGGAAATAAACTTTTAGAGATAGCTTTTATAGAGCATGCCCAACTCCAGTATTAGCTAACTGCACATCTGTTTCTTCAGTGCTCCAGCGTTTGGTAGAGGCCAGAGCGAGGACGCGCACACAGGGCTTACCTCCCTGGAGGAGATCAGGGATTCATGTGTTCGTGTCTGGAATTGAACACATTGTCAGATCACTAATGCTTCAGGCACTTTGTTCTTGGACTGTATATAATTACACAATAATGCACTATGGGAGGGGACATTTACTCTGTGCACACTCAGGAGCTTCCAGCTTGCAGGAACTCTTCATTCTGGAAAATCTCTTAGAAGAAAGCAAAAACAAGGAGAAAGAACACTCTCAACACTTCTCATATGGGAGTGCATGTCCTGGATGGTGGAGAAGGTGGCATCTTGATTCAGGGACAGTGGGGATTTATAGCCCTTTGTTTTGTGTTTTTTCGACCTTGGGAGAAGGACATTTTTATGTCACTGAGATTTAGGCTGTTAGCAATAAAATAATTTATTCTCAGCAGATATCTGAGATTCGGGGAAAACTTTTTTTTTAAGATTTATTTATTTATTTGAGAGAGAGCGAGAGAGAGCGAGCCCACAGAGGGAGAGCGAGAGGGAGAAGTGGACTCCCTGCTGAGCAAGGAGCCTGATGCAGGATTGGATCCCAGGACCCCGGGATCATGACCTGAGCTGAAGGCAGACCCTTAACCTACTGAGCCCCCCAGGCGCCCCTCAGGGAAAACTTTTAAAAACAAATCTGCACTGTTGTGATTGGGCAAGCTGCAGAGCAGAGTCAGTCTTACATCCAGGCGGGAATGGCTGAGGCTGGGGAAACAGGCTATAAAGACGTGCAAATTAGAATCCCTTTCTAGACAGAAAGGGATTTGTTCTCAAAAGAGTGTTAGAGACCAATATCTCAGAGGAGAGCAAGTTCACCATGGGCTACAAGGCTTTGGGGGAGAAGAGGTCACATAAAGTAGGTCCAGGAGGAAAAGTAGTATACGAACAGAGGTGAATGGGCAGGAAAGTGAAATACACCTTGGACACACATGCACATGCACACATTTCTGTCTTCCAAGGCCACGTGCTTTTCGTTCTATGAGAGGCCTCTCGTGTTTGGACTTTGCCCCAACAAAGTGTCGTAGAAAGCACTAAATATATATGTTTTTAATTGAACCAGTGAAATTCTTTACTTCAGTTAAGGATTCTGGAGTCCCGCAGCCCTGGTCTTGAATTCTAGCTCTGCCACTTAGCAGTTTCATGTCCCCAGGTGAGGTGTGGAACCCCCAACACCCAGCTTCCTCCTCCGTACCATGGGGTGACACCTGCCTTGCCTATCTCCAGGTTTGTGGTGAGGGTTAAAAATGATAATGTACACGAAAGTGCTTTGAAAGTGGTAGACTTCTATGCAAAGTTGTTTTGGACTGAATTATGTTCCCCAATTCCGATGTTGAAACCCTAACCCCCAGTGTGACTGTATTGGGACAAAGGGCCTTTAAGGAGGTAATCAACGTTAAATGGGGTCATCAGGGTGGGCCCCAATTCCATAGGACTAGTGTCCTTGTAAGAAGAGGGAGAACCAGCAGAGATCTCTCTCCCCCTCTGCATAAGCACGGGGAAAAGCCATCTAAGCACAGAGTGAGAAGGTGGCCATCTGCAAGCCAGGAAGAGAGGCCTCATTGGAAACCAACCCTGCTGGCTCCTTGCTCTTGGACTTCCAGAAAGTGCGGAAAAAAGAAATGTCTGTTGTTTAAGTCATCTGGTCTGCGGTCTTTTGTTATGGCAGTTCCAGCAGACCAGTACAGAAGAAAATCAAGGTTTACATGGCAATGTACAACTTAGAGAATGCTTTCTTGGGCATCTTCTTGTTATAAATTTTTATATTTTTGTTGAAGGGGTAACAAAAACAGCGTGTAGAAATTTGTTTTAATTAAGTGCACACATTTGTTTGCATCATGAAGTGTGGAGAATAGGCTTGGGTCTTGTCTTCCTGCTGCTTTGCATTCTAGAAGCAGGTGGAAATGCCAGAGAGTTCAGCAGAAAAGGTACAAGTGCACCACGATGGGTAGTCTTTGGAAAAAACTCCTTGTACTTCTCACCCTGAACTGCCCCATCCGTTCTCCCTATATGTTGTTAGAGCCTCTGGGGCTGATACAAACTTTTTTTTTTTTTTTTTTTTTCCCAGCTGTGATAAGTGGTGTCCAATGCTGGTTGAAGATAAGAGGCTACAATTCTGTGGAAAGGATTCGGAGAAACACGAATGCCCTCCTTCCTTCCTGCGACCCTGACTTCTTGGACCAGTAAGTCACGGACACAATGGTTATGCTCTGCTTCCAGTTTGTTGTTCTCAGGGGTTGACATGAGTTTATCTGTCTTTCTGCCTCTCCTCTTCGCTCCCTGCTAACCCCTTTCCTCTCCCAGCCCCACACCGACACCCCACCTCTCCCTCGTAATTTTAACAGTTGAGATCAAGAGGGACTGCCTCATGTTGTCTTAACCCAGAAAGGCCTTGGGAAGCTAGGAAGAGAGCATCCCCTTTGTCCTGGAGGTGGTCTATACTAGGTATTCAAGCACTTTGGCTTCTACCAGTGCTGCTGGGGTTACTAATTCAGTGATGGAAAATGAGCCCTCTTCTGGTCTTTTCTCTTTCCGTGATGAAATATGTTAATCTGACCTAGCTGGGGTGAGATCTCATCCTCTTTCTGAGCATTGACCTGTCACCTATCTTTGAGAGTGATGGTTTTAAAGGTCTGGGTGGGAAGATGAGGGCCAGTGTGGCCACAGGCATTAATGGTTTGGTGGGTTGTTCTCAACGGGAGGGAGGATTATCCTCAGGGTAGGCACCATTTTTCCTCTCTCTCTCTCTCTCTTTTTTTTAGTGGTAAAATATACATACATAAAATTTACCATCTTAATCATTTTTAAGTATATGTTTCGGGGGCTTTAAGTACATTCACAGTGTTATGAAACCATCACCACCACTGTCTCCAGAACATTTTCATCTTCCCAGACTGAAACTCTGTCCCCATTAAACCCTAACTCCCCCTCGCTCCCCCTCTAGTCTTTGGCCACCACCAGTCTATCTTCTGTCTCTATGAATCTGAAAATTTCACTCTTCTAAGTACTTCATATCTGTGGGAAAAGGACAAGCTTTGTCCTTTTGTGTCTGGCTATTCACGGAGCATAATGTCCTTAAGGTTCATCCATGTAGTAGCGTGTGTCAGAAATTCCTTCTGTTTTCAGGTTGAACCATGTTCCATCGTATGTGTATGTCACATTTTGTTTATCTATTCCTCTGTGGATGGACACTTGGGTTGTTTCCATCTTTTGGCCGTTGTGAGTAATGCTACTGTGAATATTGGTGTATAAAAATCTGTATGAGTGTTTGAGTCCCTGCTTTCAGTTCTTTTGGGTAGATACCCAACAGTGGAATTGCTGGGTCATAGGGAACCTCGATGGTTTAACCTTTTCAGGAACCACCAAACTTTTTCCCAGTGGCTGAATCATTTTATCTTCTTACCAGCAATACTAGGCATCTTTGTCATGGGTGTGGTGATTTATTTGGCACATTCAGATGCTCAATTAAAGCTGTAATTAAATGTCAGGTACGCATTCTAAAAATACCACAGCACATGAGCCATTATGCACCGTAGAAAGATATATTTTCTTTTTTTTTTTAGATTTTTATTTATTTATTTATTTGAGAGAGTGAGAGCAAGAAAGAGCATGGGGGCGCGCAGAGGGAGAGGGAAAAGCAGGCTCCCCACTGAGCACGGAGCCTGACTTGGGGCTCGATCCCAGGACCCTGGGATCATGACCTGAGCTGAAGGCAGACGCCTCACTGACTGAGCCACCCAGGCGCCCTGAAAGATGTATTTTCTTCTTGTTTTCACATCCAACCAGATAGGAAGTAAAATAGTTTTGGGTTTAGGAAATCGAATACGTAAATATACAGATATTTTTACATCAACATGGATAGAACTGGAGGGGATTATGCTAAGTGAAATAAGTCAATCAGAGAAACACAATTATCATACGTTTTCACTCATATGTGGAACATAAGGAATAGTGCAGGGGATAATAGGGGAAGGGAGGGAAAATTGGAAGGGGAAGAAATCAGAGAGGGAGACAAATCATACGAGACTCTTGACTCTGGGAAACAAGCTGAGGGTTGCGGAAAGGGAGGTGGGTGGGGGATGGGGCAACCGGGTGATGGACATTAAGGAGGGCACGTGATGTGATGAGCACTGGATGTTATACGCAACTAATGAATCATTGAACACTACATCTGAAACTAGTGATGTACTATACGTTGGCTAATTGAATTTAAATTTAAAAAAATATTTGATCAAAGACAACCAAACTCTATGTTCTATTGAAAGTGAGCTTCTCTTCTGATAAAGAAAGACTGTGTCCTTATGCCCAAACATGATATTCCATTTACACATCCAGGAACAAAACCTATTATTTCCTGATTTATTCCACAAGAGTTTGTTGAGCTTATTAGGGAAAATTCTTCCTAAATCTTAAGTTTTTTCTCTTTGTGCTTGCAATCAAATAAGTATATCCTTTTCCTTTAACTTAAAATTCTATAAACTGTGCCAAGTTTGGAGAGTAGCATATAGAAGATGCTCAGTAAGTGTTTTCCAGAATGAAACAGATGCTTTCTGCCTAGGTTTGACAACCACTGGTGTATCAGCTACTCTCCCCCTTGCAAATCTGGGCAGGGTGTGGGGCGGGAGAATTTACTTCCATGTGCTGTTTTAGATTTTGAAGTGTGATTGCTGTAGTACTTGCCAGTGACAAGCAGAACGCTAGTCTTTACAGTGACTCTCTGCTTTGCCCAGAGCACCGACTATGTTTATGGTCCAGTGAAGCAGCTGACTCTCCTCCTGGACTAGATGGAGATTGGCAGGTCCTGTCTGGCTGAGCCCTGGGGAGGCCCAGCCCCTAAGAGGGACCCTTCTGTACCCTGACAAGATAGTCTGGAAGCCAGTGGGAGAGGACTGAAGACCCACGAGGAACAAACACTAATCCTGGGCTTGCTGGGGAGAAGGAGCAGGGCAACCCTTCCCTGCACCTGTTGCCCTGCCCCGGGCATTGGGCATGGGCTTGTTCTCCATGCAACCCTGATGCTGGGTGCAACCCTGCTCATTTACGATTTTAATCCACAAGGGATATTCTTATCTGATACAGTCTTCCTATGTGACACTCTATCCAACACAATCGTCGCAGCACAACATCAATCTCTTGCTAACACATCCATTCATCTTGAAGGGACTCCTGGTGATATGTGGTGGTTACCATAGGAGCAGAGTTCTGTGAAGAAGCTGCATTCCTCAGGGAGGAGAGCATGTGCCCCCACTCTTTGCCCTTCTGTGTGCTCCCATGTGGGCCACTCGGAGTCAGCAGTGACCCTGAGGCTCTCAACACACACACTTTTGGCATGGACATCTTTCTTGATCTCTTTGCAAACAGAACAGGAAATCCATTTGCGGTAAAGTTGAGGGGTCCATGATTTCCAATGTGCTTCTCTGGTATCGAGTCTGTTTTTCTTTTTCTTATAGCCTGTTGGCTTCACATTTTGATATTAATGTATTTTCTTATTGTGAGCTCCATTCCTCCAGCGGGCTGAGCGGTTGCCCAGCTCTTGGATAAAGAACCTTCCGACAATGACAGTGTCTGTGATGGGGGTGTGTGGGTGCCTGGCCTCTTGAGCATCCTTCGGGGTGGCATCCAGAAGACAGTTGGTTGAGCTGGGTGGGACCAAAGCAGATTTTCGAAAATGTTTTCCTTGCTTTTTCATACACTTTCACACATTTGCTTTTCTACCAACTGACTTTCATTAGCTTTCTGGAATCTGGGTGAGTTAGCTGGGTGGAGGAACTCTGCTTGAAGGAGATTTTGCCTTTTTCTGTCACACATTTTATACCTAAGTGTTCACAGCTCTGTGGCCAAGAAGGAGGGTCATACCTCCTGGGCTTCTGAGGGCTCTTTCTGTTTTTACAATCTCTCCAGGAATTTATTCTTCTGACTGATGTTCCTTCCTCTACTTCTTCACTTTTCAGAAGGTAGCTCAAGTACCCAGAGTGCACATGTGTATATTTTTGTGATTGGTTGAGGGTAATTGTTGGTGTTTAAAATACTCTTTTGACCTTGGTGTACTGGTTTGCCAGCAAATTTTATTGTGTAAGCTGAAGCAAACAACCCGTGTCTACATTCTAGTTCTCAGTGATACTTAGCACACTGTGGCGTTTGTATATCAAATGCCGCCAATGGTGGTGTCAATAAGAGATTATGTGACTCTTGGGGAGGCGGGGGACATTATTCTGGTGCATTGTACAATACTTTGTGGCCTGGATCTGACTCGGATCTCTTTTGGCCTATCATTCCCTGAGACCTTGCCCTCCTACCATGTCCTGGTGGCGTAAAGAGAAGAAGACAAATTCTTTGCCTTCAAGAAGCTTGGGGAAAAGGCTGAGAAGTGAATAGTTACATGCAACGTGATAATTGTTACTGTACAGATTCGGACGAGATTTGGGGAGACTGCTTCTCTCTCTTTCATGGAGGAAAGGACAGCGTTTGGGAAGCGGGGCGAATGAGGATTGAGCTGAATCTAGACCAGGGTTTCTCATCCTTGGAACTGTTGGCATTTTGGACCAGATCATTCTTCGTTGTCCTCTACAGGGTGGGATGTGGAGTCTGGCCTCTCTACCGGGTGACGGTCGTAGCAACCCTCTTCTCTCCAGGTTGTATCAATAAAAAAATGCCTCCAGACACAGCCAGCTGTGCCCTGAGGAATAAGATTGCCCCTGGTTGAGATTCACGGAGTCACTAGTGGAATCGGAGAGGAAAAGGGTTTCCTGTGCACAGCATGGAAGTGGGAGAGAGCCCGGCCCATCCAGGCACCCTCTAGTGCTTTGGAACTGGGTGGAACTCCGTACACCCGGAGGCTAAAAGATAAATGGGCCTGTTTTTGAAAGTCTCACCGGCAGAGCACAAACTCTGCTCTGGCAACAGGGCACGGGACTACATAGTCAACTAGAGGTGTTGTTGGGTAGCCCACAATGGGTGTCATTAACAATATGCACCATCTGGCAGCTTCCTATTACAACGAATGTGTCTTGCTAAGTACCCTCGAAGCTTTAAAAATCCTCATTTTAAAATACTGCACCCTAAAGTTTGGTGCCTTGGGGTAAAGCCCAGGTCATGCTCTGGAGGGAGGACTTCATGTGTTCTCGCTAGGAGCCAGCGTGGAAGGTTGCATGAGAAGGCCCTTGTCATAGCAAGACAACCTCCC